CGGAGAGGTTTTCCGTGCATGTCCTACAGGGAGGAGACCCCGGGGCAGGCCCAGGACTCGCTGGAGGGATTATATCTCTCGGCTGGCCTGGGAACGCCTCGGTGTCCCCCCCGAGGAGCTGGTGGAGTTAGCTGGGGAGAGGGAGGCCTGGGTGCCTCTCCTGAAGCTGCTGCCCCCGCGACCCGAGCCTCGGACAAGCGGTAGATAATGGATGGATGGATGGATGGATTACTGTATAAGGTTTGATGATGTGCGATATTAATACCAACATCTCATGTTATGCACATCCCTAGTCAGCTAGATTAAGATCAGGCTTTTTCTTACTTTCAATTTCGTATGGACATTATAGCGCAGGGAGTTGAAGTTTCGCTAAAACAGTTTTACTGTCATACAAAAAAAATGTAGCTGGCTTTGCAATTTTAATGATTATATTCCCTTTTTTAGATTTTCTAAAGTATGTTTAAAATCAGTTTACACTGCTTTTTCATAAGCGCTGCATGCCCTCGCCGAACGAGGCTCAAGCTGGCACCTTTTTTATATATATATTGCCCACCACCACCCTCTTAATCACATATCCTTATTCGAATTTTCCGGTCCACCTTAAATGCGATGCAATTTGTGCGATTGTATCTGTAGGAGGACTCATTTAGTGAGATTTACCTTCAGAACTGCATTTGGCTTTCGATTCGTATTAACTGAGCACGCTTCGGCTGACTTGTTAGCACTTTGAGGAAAGTACAGTCATGTGAAAAAATAGGAAAAATATCAATATTAAATCTTCTTTCAAATTATATCTGTAAAGGTGATGTAATTGCATCATCTATGCAAAAACAAGAAACAAATTCACTTATTTACGAAAAGAAATTAACTAAGATGCTAATTTCCACTAAGGAAAAAGTTAGGACACCCTCACATTCATCAATATTTAAAATTCTTAGAATTCAGGTGCAACATATCAGATGAAAATGATTAGGACATTGTCACGCAGCTTTTTGGTGGAGCCTGTCTTATTTACCCCAAGCAAGTAAGTAACCTGCCAGATGTCAAGTCAGCAGAGTGCGTTTTTTTGCTTTAATTCAGGCTTCTGTTCCGGCTATGGCTTCACATGCAAGATTCTGACAGTTTTCAAAGTCCTCTGATCCTTATATTCTTCGTAGTGAAATGACACCAAGCATTTGAACAGAATAAAGTCAAGAAACAGAAAGAAGAAAATCTTTTTGCATGAGTTTATAAAATCACAGATATTAAAAAAGGTATAGGCCTAATCAGTTGCAAAAGAAAAGCATAGTTAATAATAGGTTCTTCTGTGGTCAGTAGTGGTTACAAATATATGATGATGTTTAAGTGTAGCTTTTGTCTCAGTTGATGGATAACTCATTTCTCTCTTTTAAACCGTTATAGGTCTTTCAGTGTAAAAACCACTCCTAGGCTACTTAAGTGGGACAAAATATAATGTAAAAATGTACACGGTGCTTGCAAAGTCTCTGCCACTAAAACTGATTCAAATTTATTATACATAGCTATTTTAGTTTCGTGTTGTAAAAACACGTCTGCCTGAATGAAGCATAAATGTGTTACGGAAATGCAACGTATGCAATGTAGCGTGGGGTGAGCGAGGCGGTTTGGCCGATCATTCTCAAATCGCGAGCGCCCTCTACAGGCCGAGGAAGCATTGTCGATGGCTTCATTTTTTCATAATGGAGGATAGCTCCAGGATCATACTCTAAAAAAGAGAAAGACATATAAAATTATTAATACACACGGCATATTATGTTGGCATCTGAGGTGAATGTTGGTCCACATCCCAATATCCTCCATCTTTAATGTCTATTTGTATCTTTATTTGTTTGTTTAAACTTTACCTGTTACTAACACTTTCGTTTTAGGCTCTTGTTTTCTTACTTTTCAGATGCAGATGCCTATGACATTTTCTGCAACGTTCACATCAGCGATTCAGGGCTAATATAAAACTGTTATTTTTAATACACTAAGTTGATATGCAAATCGCACATTAATATCGGGAAATAACTGAATAACATTCCAAGTTAATGTGATCTGATGATATTCTGCTTATACTTTCTGTGTACTTGCCATTGACATCCTCCTTCCACTCGCCGGGGGCGGAGTCGCAGGCGGACTCTCCCCCTGCGAGATGCGCTTGGGGTCGGACCCGGAGCCGCTTCCCGAAGCCGGGCTCGCAGGTGGGCTGGCCAGCTTGCTCTTGGACAGTTCGCGGGACATGAAACTGGGCTTCCGCGTTGATGGGTAGTGGCCGCTGTCCGGAGAAACACTCCGATCTTCTCCGAAGTCCTTGTGGCAGCTTATACGACTCTGTCTGCGCACTGCGTTACGGACGGCCGCAGGTATCTCCATGTGGCTGGAGTGAGATGCTCGTTTGGGGTGAGCTCCTCCCTG